TCCGCTCAAGTCTTGGCTATCAAATAGCAAAAATCTCAGGTCTCTATCTCATTCCTATTAAAAGTTATTCAAAAAAATGCCCACCGGCACTGTATTTTGGAATGGCTAGTAGTAGTTTGTCTCCATGTTTAGCACCTTGTACCCTCAAGATTTAACGTTTATCCATCTCAAAAAGCAATGTATACCGATATATAGCATATTTTGTATGCTTAGGTATAACATCTTTCTATCTTAAAATAGCATCAGTTTGCTGAATATGTCTGAGCTCGCGCAGTTTATATCAGTGCATTGGTTTTCTTGCACGTTGCTGACACACTCATGCCGAGCAGCTCACTGGTGGCTGGCAGAGTGAGCAAGACTTGTGTGCCGGATTGCGTGCCCCAGCGCATATCACTAGTGCAGCCCGGTGTGGTAATGCTACCTCGATTAACACTGATAGCAAGCGTGCCCTCCGCAAGCGTTGGATGAGCCGCAGTGACGGTGAAGCTGTCAGAGTTCTCACTATACAAAATAGCGCCTGCCTGTTCCATATAAATACTCAGCGACAAACCGCTGCAGTTGTAGTACGCGCCACCACCGATACTAGAAGCGTCTTCGAATAGCGAAACAGACGCCCGCTGGACGAATGGATCGCAAGTACCATGCAAATGTAGCAACGTATCATCTCCCTGTGCCTTCTCCAATGTATATGCACTGTCCGCTAAAAACATATACCGGTTCCAAAGCGCCGGCACTGCATATACGGTCACATTGGGCATCATCATATACGTATAACTGAGCGCCTTGCTCGTGGGTCCTCTGCCGTGAATGATAGCGGCGGTAAGCATGCGTCCGTGCAGTTCAAAATCCCATGGACCAAACCGATTGACGTTGCCGGACTTGTTGCGACAGTCAATTGTCAGCGCAGCGTAGTCACCCAGCACTACCCATGCGGTGCCATCGGCGTGAAACCATTGCACGCGCGGCTCTGTGTCTGAAAACGAATAGACACCGTCCGCCAACACCACCTTAGTTCCATTACTCCATTGCAATGTCAGTGTACCTGCCACTGTGTTCGCTAGTGGTAACAATCTGCTCACCACGGTGGTCTGTAATAATGCTCTAGTATTATCCTCAATGCCATTTGCCAATGCCACAACGAAATCATCGTAAAAGTGCCACGTACGCTTGGCCGTCAAACTGTGGGTAGCGGTATCCATTACGGCCGCGCCATAGTTGCCATCGCTAACGCCACCAACGAACGTCGTGTTCAGCATAGGAAGCTTCCCTCTGTTACAGTGCACTAATGGCGTGTCAGCCTCCACAGTAATACCATTTATAGCATTCCAGTCAAGCAAGGCGAATATGTTCTCATATTCTTCACCACTGCCGTATTGTGCATCACGAGTATACAGGTTGAGCACACCGTCACCTATGTGCTCACCTTTCAGGTTCTCATAATTATCGCATTCAGTTGTGATTGTTCGAAAGGAATGCATCTTCAACGCAGCGGTCCAGTTGGTTCGACGGTGCACCTGGAAATCGCTGGTATAGAAATGACGATTTCCAACCAACGGTGGTGCCTCGTAACGATGCTCTAGTCGATCTGCATAATCGCGTAACGCAGCAGCAATGGAGATGTTACTGATGTCCATGGCTAACGCCCGTAGTCGGTCTGACGCGAAT